TCATCTTGACTTTTTTTTTTCTTCCATACAATTGCCCCTGAGGGAGCATAAGGTATTAAGATACAAATATTAGCTGCTGAGGGATAAACAATAGTGCAGAACTGTTGGATTTATTTATCAATAACTTTTTTTTTCCTGCTCAGTATCTGAATCACAACATGAGGCTGAAATGTTGTTGCTGTTGTTTTCTAAAGTATTCTTAATTACGAGTACCTTGAAATAGCGTTGCCCCCCCCCAATACATTTATTAAGATGTTTAGGCACCTTAAATAGATGTGCAAATGCTGATTGACAGGTCACTTCTTGTTTCTAAAGCCCTTGTGTATTTTTAAAACATTCAATAATTGCTAGCAAAAGTATTTCCAGTTCTGTTATAGGAAATATTGCAAAGATGGTGTGTGTGTATACTGCTGGTATTCTCACTTTGCACATTGTACTAAGTCATGGTTTGTTTTAACCAAGGTTTGTTGAATATGCCATAGTTGTCTGTTCACACATGTCAAAAATAATGATTTACAAACCATAATGGATAGGTCCTATATTGCCTTAAGTCCAAACCAAATCAATCACAATGTAGCTTAGTATGATTTATGAATCTCTCTCTCTCAACTTACCCATGTGTGTGCTCTACGTCACTCTCTTGCCAAAGCTGCTTTGAAGCTCTCAGCTCACTAAATTGAGCAGTTTTAAGGGCACTAAACATTTTAAAAGCACAATACTTAATAAACAGACTAAACTCTCCCTGCTCTCTTTGCAGAATGCCTGAAATCAACAGCTGGTCTGGAAAAAGCTGCTTGTAGCAATTTTTAACTCTTTGACTCTGTCCTCCTTACTTGACCCCATTTTCTGGGTTGGCTCTCCTCCATTCTGGCCCATATGATCCCATCTGCTACTTCCTTTGATTCTCAATCCCTTCCTGGCTGATCCACTGAGCATTTTTTTAGCTGATGGTGCCTGTCAGTTTCCTTTCTACCATTGAACAGTATCTCACCAACCAAGACATCTCAAAACTGCCCTTCCTCCCTGTTTGCCTCAGAGGACTTTCACTGAACAGAACATTGCAGGAACAAGTCTTACACCTTCTTTGTTCTCCTTTACTTATTAGTCATCTTTCTCTCCTGCTTCAGAAAGAAAAATTATTACCCAGTTCTGTCCTTATCTCTTTGACCGATTATATGCCATCAAGTCAGTGTCAACTCTTAGTGACCACATAGTTAGATTTTCTCCAGGAGGATTTGCCCCCAACCTCATCCTTCTATTCTTTCAACATGCTAGGCGGACTTTTTGGGCTACCTTTCTTCCTTTTCTTCATTTTCCTATCTGTGACACCATTATCAAGCTGAACTCCTGTCACATACCTCTCTCTCTCCATAGAAATCTCTCCTTTTTGCACCCACAGTTAACTCAACTTTATACTCTCCTAATGCCTTAAGACTTGTTTCTTCTGCTTTACTCCTTGGGAGATTCCTAATTCTGATTCTACTTTGTCTATCAGCAGCTTCTTATTTGTTCTGCTGATATCTAGCTATTTATTTCCTATGATTCCTATAACCATTGTTTACAGTCTCTAAAAATCTCTGCAACTAGCTGTGCTGTTGCAGTGCAAACCTCAGCTCTTTCGTACACCTCATGATGTCTCATGCACATACAAAAAAGGCAGATCTTGCATAGCAATCGTAGGAGGTTGGGTTTTTTTTCATAAAAGCCTTCAATCCTACAGATGCAATTACTGCTGCCTCCTTCATTACTTACACCTAGTAAATTCCTACTTACACCTGTTATTGCTTACTCCATGCTCTATACTTACTCCATTCATTATTTACACATGGCAAATGTTTACCAGTTTGCCTTTTTTTTTTAATTTCAACTTTCTTCCTGTTTGGTCCAGCACTAATATTTACAATACCAGCCTTTTACAACTGGGGTGTAATTCCTTTAATAGTTCACCAGCTCTAATGCAACCATCTGGGTGCATGCCTTAGGGCAGGAATAGAGTTACTGGGCAATCCTAACCCTAAAAGCAAATGAGTTCACTGCCCAGTTCTAATGCTGGACTAATATGAGGAATGGCAGTTGAATGGCTTACCTGAACTTGGACGACTTAGCAGTGTAAGTTGCCATTATTACCATGCAGCTCAACTAGTAGAATGTACTATATGGGGGGGGGGGGGGGGGGGTAGCTTTTGAAGATGACCTGGAGGCTACAGCTGGTACAGAATGTGGCAGCTAGACTGTTAACAGGGAAATCACTACAGCACTGTAGAATAACATCTATATTGCAGTTTGTTTAATTCAATTTCTATAGTCGCTATCTCAGACAAGTGACATTGGTTCCCAGTAAGCTTCCAGACCTAGTTCAAAGTGTGGGTTATAACTTTGTTTTGTATGGCCCAGCACTAGATCATGTTTTAGCCAAAATTATTCTGACCTTTCTGTATTGAGCTCTAGAGAGGGCCTACTGAAGTTCTCCCCCATGAGAGGTAAAGGGGGCATAGACTAGGAAGCAGACTTTTCCTTTGGCTGCCCCCATTTTATAGGCTACACTGGTCCCTGGTCCCCACACTTCTGGCATTCTGAAAGGCACATACTTTTCAAATGGGCATTTGATGCCTAGCTATGAATATCAGGTGACTTTCAGTAAGTTTTTGTGAATTATTAATTTTAAGCTGATTTTGTGGCATGGAGTTAATGGGGTTTAATTCTTTGTTACAATTTTGGGAAGAGGGCAGTGTTAAAATGTAGATAAATACATTTAACCCCACTACTGAGATTGTTCCCTCCCATCACAGGTATCAGGTATGCCAGTTGCCAGATTGAACTGGCATCCTTAACATCCTTACCTAAAAATTCTTTCGGGGAGAATAGAATGTTCCAATTCCTACTTACCCTTTTCAATGGATCCAACCCAGTGCTTCCTCAACAGAGCTAAGCACGCAGAATTCCCAATTCTAATTGAGAGGTGCATGTCCTAAAGTTGTTTCTTCAAGACTATTTTACCAGGCTCTTTATGAGGCTTTCTTGAAAGGACCTTCTTTTGAAGTCAGCAATGATCCATGTCACATGGTAGTCATTCATTCATCCATCCATCCAATTTGTATTTATGTTGAGTATTCAGTCAGAGAACTTCCTCTTCTAGAACAATCCTCAACTACTTTTAATTGATCCCTTAGTGGTGCTCTCAGAATGCAACACAGCTTCTTGGAACAGTCACACCAGAAGGGGGTGAGGGAGTGCTAGGGAATCTCATCCCCCACTGTGTGCAGAATTAAGAAATTATTTGCATTCATTAATTTGCAATCAAAACAGGAATAGTTATTAATTTTGGTTTTGTTTTTGCATTTTCTCAACTGCAGAATTGTTTGGGTCCCATTTTCATATTAGCAAGTGTTACAGAATCTGCATTTCAAGTCTGCATCTGATTCCAATCTAACACCAACTTAAAGAAGCAATGGAAGAAAGTTAAAGGGTTCCTACTAAACTCTCTTCATAAATATATGCAAAAAGCTTTCACTTGATAATCTACCAGGCACTTGCCAAGACCACTAATCTACCATTCTAATGATCACACCGTTAGGGGTCATGGACAAAGAGGATACACATACACATTTATACATATGAATGGATGGACAATTTTCTCAGTAGAGAAGAATAAGAAATGTAGTCCCTCAAGGATCAGTGTTGAGACTGGTATGTTTTAACTTGCTTGTAAAGGATATTAACTTAGGGATAAGCTGGCCAAATTTGTGGATGATACCAAACATTCAACATGACAAAAATCAAAGGGAACAGTGAAGGGCTTCAGAAGATCTCTGGAAACTAAGTAATGCACACTGAGACAAACCGCACCCTTTATGTATATACTGATAAGGTCTGAGCTCTTGAGGTCATGGTGGACAGTTCACTAAAGATGTGGACTTAAGTGTGTAGCAGCTACTGTATGAATAAGGCAAATTCTGTGTTAGAGATCATGAGGAAAGAGATGGAAGAAAGAACTGTAGTGCTCTTATACAAATCTAAGATACAACTACATCTGGTCACTACATTTCAAAAGAATACAATGCAGCTTGAAAAAGGGCAAAAAGGGGCAGGCAATCAGGGACTCAAATACCTTCCTTGTGAGAAAAAGCTAGAACTTTTGGGATTCTCTACCTTAGAAAAAAGGTAACTGAGATATATAAAATAATGCATGGCATGGGGAAAGTACCCAGCAAGAGATTTTTCTCCTCTTCAAACACTAGGCCATCCAATAAAGCTTTTTAGAAGGTAAACAAGTACAAAATAAAGCATTTCTTCACATAATAAGTATTTAAGGTGGAATTCAGCACAAGGCATGGTGACAGCACTAACTCGGATGGCTTTGATACATCCATGGAGGAGAGATCTAATAAATATTATTAGTCCTTTACACTTAATGTTAACCTCCAAATACCAGTTACAAAGGAACAGAGTTAGAGGGCCTCTGTTCTTGCTTGAGAGCACTCCAGAGGCATCTGGGTGGTGACTGTAAGAAACAGCATGGTGGACTATGTTGACTCTATGGATTGATCCAGCAGAGCTACTGTTATATTCCGGTAGTAGAGATTAACAAATCGTCAGTTTGATACTGAGCAATCCTAAGTGAAAAATATCCTGTTTGTTTTTATAGTATTAGATTAAAACTAAACAAATAGACTACAGTCACCTATCATGTACGCATACAAAGGAGAGAGTAGCCAGTGCTTTTGCCAGTAAGACCCTCCTAAAATCCTGAATCAATTTGATGGAGCCAGATAAGGGACTTTTCAGGGGTAGAACAGAAATTACTTGGAGATGATTGACCCAATTCATAACATCTTACTGGTTTGTCTGGGTAATTCATTGTTATAATTTTGATGTCCATTGAAAAATGTCAACTGAAAACTATTTTGGGGAAAGGAGTATATGAAAAAACATTTTAAGACAGCTATTTTATTTTTAACTTTGTATTTTCCAGTATAGTTTACTAATTCTAGAATTTTTCTGATTTTTTTTCTCTATTTTTGATTCCTAAAGTCTGTTAATATTGTTACTTTATCTAGCACTGATTTTATTAAAGGTTTTATTGACTTTAGATGCTTTGATACAAATATTCTGATTTATTGTAGCGTTCACTACAATTTGCTTCAAGTCCTTAGCCACATGATGCAACAAATAAATTCTATCAATAAGTTTACATACAGGAATCCAGCACTGAAGGTCTGATTTCACATTCTCTGAATAAAAGCTAATAATTACAAATACAAAGGCAAAGTTCATGCAGATTCAGATTGCTTTGGAAAGTTCTAATCTTGTGTAGTACTACATTAAAAGTTTTAATGTCAAATTTAACTCACATTGAAAGGTATAACATAAATCAGAACAGTGCACTAATGTTTATTGGTGTCCTGCATTTTCAGTGTAGCAGGTGGGAGATGTAATTTAAAAAGCTTCCAACTTATTAAAACTCTAAAAACCCTCATTCAGAGTTCAGTTAATTCATGTTTCCTTTCCACTTGAGGGGGGAAAAAATCTTTACCATTTAGCTTTTCAGAGCCTGCTTATAACTTTGCTCATTTCAAATATTTAGATACATTCCCCAATATAAACAATAATTTTCAGTTTGTTTCACAATGAAAAATTGTTAAGGCCACCTGAGTTATTTTACACTATCTCCAGTCTGTCTTCATTGCAAAACACAATATCTTCTTGTACTATACATATCAATCCATGAAAAACACATAGCAAAAAGGGATAAATTGTTCATTGATATGCAGGGCATTCCCAAATGTTATGTTTTGCCAAGTAGTTGCATTACATGATTTGACACCAGGCAGCCTCTGCAATATTGCAAGGTAACTGGGACTACAGATCTCTTGAACTGAACACTGCTGCACTGACACATCTAAAAACATAGCAAATATATTAGCTCCAGGGACCAGAAATCTTTCTTAATGGTTCACGTTTATTTTCCCATTTCCTCTGCTGGTTTATAGTAACCTTAAAAAGATCTCTTTGTACATGATCTACTGGGCCTTAAAATACAAATATACAATATCCATAAGCAAAAGACAAGTAAAACTTTGAATGAGTTACTATTTCTTATGAATTTCTAACCTTTTTTACACAAGTATAAACATTCATGCTGATCAACATACAGAATGATTTCCTTTATCAATCAAACATCTGAGATGGGATCAAGTAGGTTCATTATTTATAAGAAATGTTCATTAAATTTTTATCTTTCAGCTTAAGTTGGAGCTGTAATTCCTGCTCATATATTCAAGTTAAATTGTGGTAGTCCATATTTAGGGCCACCACATCTGTGCTGCAAAAGTCTGAATGAGCATTAGATGGCGATAAAAAAAAATTATCTCCTTGCTACCATCTGGCATTCATCTGGATTTCTGCAGCAGAGATGCAGTAGTTCTACGTATGTTTAATTTCAGAGATAATGAAATCAAAGCACAATCCAACAATGTTAATCTTACTGAAAACAATTCATTAGTCGCAAGTTCATGAAAATTCTTATTTTCACATTTCCTCTTTTAAAGGGCTTATAACTCTGATAGCAATTTGGCCAAAAATGTTGTGTGAACCGTTCATTTCATTTCACAGGCAAACCTATGAAGGTCCCATTGAAATGAACGACACAGAACAGCAGTGCTTTGTGGCTTGTTTACTTATTTCACCTTGGTCTAAAGTTTCTGTCTGCTTTCTTCACTGTTTATTATAAATAGATGTACCATCATTTTTGCAACCGTTTATATTCTAACAATGTATTTAGACAGTACAAAGTGTGTAAATAATAGAACAGCGAAGCAGCCATGTGTAATATTAGAATAAGCTTTTTGGTGACTATTTACTATAAAAGTTTTTTTTATGTGTATTGCATAAATATTCAAGCCATTACTTCATTTTAAACTTGAATTTCTTCATATAATGTACAACAAAAACAGAGAGATGATAATTGTTTTTTGAAGTGATGCGTAATGAATAACCAAAATAAGTATGGTAAGTAGCCAAAGACTTAACTTTCCTGAGGTTTGTAAGAATTTCAAAATCACAGTGACTAGGCTAGAAGACAGTAACCTTACTGTTAAATTTTCAATATACATTTTGTACAGAACTTTGATGCAAGGCCAGTTCTTGTTTGCACATATAGTTTCATGCAAGGATTCTTCTAAATAATTCGCCATTGCATAATACTGGTATCTTTTCCACCTGTGGAGATGAGATGTGTATCTTTATATAGAAAATCTACATTGGTTACATGACTACTATGTCCGCCATACACGTGACTTGGAGCCTGAAAGACATAAATAAAAAAGGCACTTTCAGTAACAGAGGAGTCCACATTGGTAAGGGGAACTGTTATTACAACAAAAGCTGTCAGTTACAACTAATGATTAGGTGCCAATCTAGAGGAAAATCATGCCATGTTGTTCCACCTGCTACCACCTGCTGACCCTGACTCAGCTCAGACACTAAGATCAGACCAGATGGGAAACTACCAGGGAATACCAGGGATGAAGGTTAGACTGGGAAATAAAAACACACAGGAAGAAGGTAACAGCCAACCACATCTATATTATTGACAAGAAAATGGCATGAATATGCCTATAACTCAAACTCAAAGGAGATTAGCAATTTTACTTCAATCAGTCATGCAGGAAAGTACATCATTGTGTTATTGTACCTGTACTTCCCAATGAATGTACACTGGGGAAGATTTGTTTTCCACAGAATAACTGGTGGATGATACAGGCAGCAGTTAGCACATGGCTGCTTTCACCAGGATTTTTTTTATGGTGGAGCTGCCTTTGAGTCAGTGTTGAGTCCTGGTGACTGCCTGGACAAGTCCCTGCAGTTTTCTTGGCAAGATTTCAGAAGTGGTTTCACATTGGCTGCTTCCTAGGGCTGAGAGACAGTGACTGGCCCAAGGTCATCCACCTGGCTTTGTGCCTAACGTGGGAATAGAACTAACAGTCTCCCAGTTTCTAGTCTGATGCCTTAACCACTATACCATACTGGCTCTCTACCAGGATATTAGTCCAGCATAAAAGGCAAATATGGCATACAGACAAATAAGATTATTTTAAATTAATCATTACATTTGCTTCTCACTGTTTCTAATGTGGGAATTCCTAGTCATCTATCTTCCTCTTTGGCTGGCAACTGGATTACACAGCATAATCTGTATTGGTCCCAGAACAATTTACTATTATTTTTTTTATTTTATCATCATTGTAACAACCTGACTTGCCCAAGGCATGTAAACAACCATTTAAATGTAAACATTTAAACAAGCTACACAGTGGAGCAGGGATACTGATCTTGTCTCCAATGTTTCAAGTCAGCATTCTTACCTGTGGCAACTTATCCACTGTTAAGACTAAGAATCAGTAAACCAATTTACATATCTGCAAGGCCATAAAGGTTACATTTCTTTTTTTAATAAAGTAGTACACTTCCTAATGAAAAATGAACATCAAAAATGATTTCACTAACTTTTCAGGATGATGAGCACTATATTCATGTGTAACTTGTCAGATTAGTTTAGGGATTTTTGGATATTTTTTGAACGCTACAGAAAAGGAAGAAAGCCATGTTTATCTTTAAAATTGTAAGAATGAATGTAACTTTTGGTGTAACTGCATTTCCTAGCCTATTTGAGAAGACAGGTATCAAATAATTACGTTCTTTCAGGCATGCAGCTCTTCTAATGTTTTTTGTTTTGTAATTTTTTAAATAAATTGTTCTGTAATTCTTTGGTGAACAGCTTTATCTAAGTTAATTAATATTCCATACCATTTTAAAAAGTTAATGAGGAGACCTACTGTATATAGACCAATGTACGTATTCACTGAATGACTGTAATAGAAAATATTACATAGATCTAGTATTATCTAAATCTGCATTAAATTCAATGAAGGAAATAAATCTAGTTATAAATATTATAATTTAGTTTATCTTTCTAACTATTAAAACAATAACTGAAACAATGTCAAATCAGACTTGGTGGAATGAAAATAAGAGATACCTTGCTCAAAATCTTCAAATCAAATGGTATAAATGCTTTAATCAGAACAACTTATACAAATAACCTCTAATGTAGCTGGTACCTTACCCTAAACTGTGAACATGGATAAGAGAAGAGATGTACTTTGCCAAAATCATCACCAGTTGATAATAATTTTCTTTCATGTGAACGACAAAGAGCATTTATATCTGTGCCATCTGAACCTTCTGGCCACACACCTAAGAGAAGAAATAATCATTTATTTAACTTTTTGAACACCCAAAGCCACAAATCTATCTGCATTGGATTTCTGAACTGCTTAAAGTATGGCATCAAACAATCCAGATCCCATTTCTTGGCACATATTAGAAGCTAGATCTCCCAGATTAAAACAGAGACTGAAACATGTGCTGAGATACATCACTGGTATAGGATAAAAAAGTGTTTGGTAGATTTGTATATATGCAGGTTTAGAAGACACAGGCTGTGTATACACATCATGGCTAAACCATGGACTGTTGAATGTAATGGCTAGATTTACCTAAATTATACAATATAAACCATGGTTTATAAACAACCATAGCTGAATTCATAAGATGGGCCAACGCAGAGCCAAGCAATGCCCATTATGGCTTAGCACAAAGTGTGAACCCAGACCAAATGTGCTGCTGTGAGGAAAGAAAAATGGAGTTTATGTAGATTACAATATAGTAGTAATAGTAGTAGTGCTACTAAATTTATCATGCTACTAAGAAGAATAAAAGCATGGAATAAAAACAGATATTAATATTATAACCAGCAACAATCAACTGTAAAATCACAATATAAACAAGGAGCCGCAAAACTAAAAAAGCTATAACATGTTACAAGAGTTGAATGAAAAGTAATGCCTCCAATTTTATAAATTGCCAATAGATGGCAGTACTGATGTGCTAGAAGCCTTGATGTGTTCTTTAGCACCCATTTTTTCACTTCAGTTGGTGGGAAGTTGCTGTGAGAAAAGGTTGCTTGTGAAATGAAAGTCTGTGGTGAGTATTCATCAGTGGGCTTTAAGCAACATGTGACTGAATTTTTGATTGCCAGAGGATTACCTCCAATTGAAATTTACTGCTGAATGCAGATTGTTGATTATGACGACTATGTTGACGTGAGTATTGTGTGTCCCTGGGCCAAAAGCGGTAAAGTTGATGAACCAGGAAGAGCTATCAAGAACAAAGTAGATGACCGGTGACAGCAACCAAAAAGTTTCACATGAGAAAGCTTGATGAGCTTATTAAGGACAATGATTACTGGAAAGGAAATTGCTGTCAAGCTTAGCATTTCACAGGAACATGTAGGTCACGTTACTGATGTTTGTCAATACTGGAAATTCTGTGCAAGATGGGTTCTTCATATACTGATGGTAGAAATGAAATCTTCAACAGCTCAAATTTGTCACAGTTGTTATCACACTACAAGAATGAAGGTGAGGAATTTCTTTACAGCATCACGACAGCTGACAAAACATGGGCTCATCATTATGACGCAGAAATGAAGCATCAGCCCATGGAATATCATCAGAAAGCTTCACCTGCTGGAAAAAACATTCAAAACCTAAACTTTGGAAGGAAAAATAATGGTTACAGGTGTTGGGATGCAGATGGTATTATATACATGAAGTTCCTTGAACCTGTCACCATTAGCAACTCAGAGCACTACACTGAAACACTCAAAAGTTTAAAACAATGATAAAATAGAGTTCAGAATGAAAAAAGGAAATTTTGCTGCAACATGACGTTAGGCTTCACATCTCAGAAGCCACCTAAGAGGCAGTTGCAAAGTGGGATCTCACTGTCTTACTCCATCCACCATACAGCCCAGACTTGGCACAATGCGACTTCCATCTTTTCCCAAAATTGAAGGAATACCTGTGGGCATCTGTTTGACTCAAATGAAGAGGTGGAAAGGACTGTCAGGACCTGGTTGAAGAGACAAAGTGTGGAGTCCTTTCATGATGGCCTTAAGAAGCTTGTCCATCATTGGCAGAAGGATGCAGCAGTGGTGATTATGTGGAGAAGTAAATACAGGTAACAAAAAATTCATTTCAAGGATTATTTTCCCATTTTAGTAAATACATGTTTTATTTATTAAAATATCCCTGTTTAAACTGAAGTTATGAAAGTGAGGTATTACTTTTCATTCAGCACTTGTAATATCAACTTCAATATATTCAAATTGACTTAAAAAAAAAAAATCTTCAGAAAGGTTTTTAGTGCTTTTTGGTGGTACTTATTTATATATTTATATATTAAATTTATGGGCCACCCAGCTCCCAAACAACTCTGAGGAGCTTATAACTAGAAACATATATATATATAAACTTAATAAAAGATACAAGTAATTGGAAGAGCAAAATATTCAAAACCAAACCAAAACAAGCAAAAGGACAAAAGGGAGCTCCACAATCACCTTTTCTCAAGGCCTCAGAGTAGTACTAATAGTAGCACCTTTATTTATCATGCATTTATAACTAAATGCAATAAAGATAAGAAGCTGTAAGTTTCTTACAACAGGTTCATTTGTAGGAACAGTTTTATTTATTTTTACAACTAAGTTAGCATTTGTTATATTTTCAAGCTTAAGGTTGCATAATGGGTTAATTCTACTTCAGGACCAAAATAAAAGTTGACCAAAGAAACCTATTTTTTAAAAACACACAATAATTGAAAAAGTCATAGCTCCCACTTAATATTTCCAAGGCATATTAGTAAGTGTGATTTTTTGAAATTTCAGGTATCAATTTTGTAGGATGATGATTTACTGATAATAAATTAGCTCAATTAGGCCGGTGCATACCCATGCTTGGGTATGGATACATAAAGCAGGATAGTGTAATGCATGAAAATCAGGCAATCATGGATATAAATCATAATACGTACTTTCAACTTTATTAAGATCATAGTGATTAATGTTAACTGGGATTAACGTCAATATAGGACTTAATCATGACAAACAACAATGAAGAAAATTCAAACGCAAGATGAGGCTACAGAGTAGATATGCAGTCCTACAGCCTTCTTCCATCTTCTACCAAAACCTGATTATTTCATTATTAATCATTAAAATATTATTGAATTATTAAATTATTAAATATTATTTCAATATTGATTAAATAATAATTATTTTTGCACTGGCCACAAAACATTCCTGAATTGAGTATTCCACTTCTTGATCTTACACACTAAGATCAAGACAAAAAACTTTGGGGGGAATAATGGGGGGTTGAAGATGGCTCCATTTTCATGGAGCCGATGACCGTGGCAGTTAAGAGGAGCTGGCGAAAAGTCTGGCTCTTTGGAACCATCTCCAGACAAAGGAGATGACTGGATCACCCACAGGTACTCCTTACAGAGGCTCCCTGTGAGGAGATCACAATTTAGCCATCTCCAGCGGGTTGGGCGCTTTGGGGGTTGCAGGAAACATCAAGCCCAAGCTGCAGTTTGGAGCCTCTAAAGAGACACTAGATTTACTTTCACTTCCTCTTTTAATGAACATCAGAAATTACTTATTACTGATTTACTTGGAAATTAAAAACCTTCTGAAAGGCAAGTTGCTGTACACCAGGAGAATTTCCTTCAATCCTGGGAGAAAGAAGATTTAAATACGTTTAAAGATTAAAAAGAAAAAATTTAACTTTTGGAAAACAGTGAAAGGGAGTTAAGAATGTTGGCTGTGGATAGTTAAGGGGCCAGATGGATTTTAAAGAATAGTTTTTTTATGGACTGTTTTACATTTTATAAAAATACAGCAGACAATTTTGGAATTAACTGTAAGAAACCTGATTGTGGGAAAGTTTTGGCTTTGAAAATATACAAAATATAAGAGTGGGGTTTGAAGGTTAATTAGAGGGAACCAGAGAGCAATTAAAGGAAAATATATTTCCTAACATAATGGAGGAACATTGTTTTACTA